AATTATCTAATTCTGCTTCTTCAATATATCTAATAGACTAACACTTATATAATTTAATTGGCAGGACTGAGAAATCTGATTTTAATACTAATTCAAACCCATAACGAAACAAAATAAAATTTTAATAAGATTTTTATGTAATAAAATCTTAATTACGTAAAGTCATTTACTAATTCATAACACTACATATTTTATTTTTGTAATCTTTTCAGGTACTAAATAGGTTTGAATTAAATATTTTAGTGATTTAATAGATTCAATCGGTAGCTTAGAAACAAAATAGACTTCGATTTATATATTTTAGGAACTAAGTAGATTTTATCGATAATTTAATAATTAAGTAGATAATTTAATGATAATTTAAAAGTAAAAACTGTAATAAAACCATTTATGTATTATTTTCCCATGAGCTACTGTAGTGTACACTATATGTGACAAAAATAATTTAAATATATTAAAAATTAATTATTACAAAATTGTCTAATGTATAGTGTGCATAGGCTGATTAGTGCTGATTTTTTAAAAAAATATTATGAAATATGGTTTGATAGCATTTTATCTTTTCTGTCTTTTAAAAATAGGCATATGCCCCTATGGACTAAAATGTAACTGTTAATACCGTTAACTATAGATGTGAAATAACTATAATACCTTCAAACCTTATATTTTTTGTTATTTCTCTTTCATCTCTCATACACATAATTTATGATGCCTAGTATTAATCCAATTAATTATAAATTCTTAATTATTTATTGTAATTCTTAAATTTTTATTCTAATTTAATTTTAAAGAAAATTGGTGATAAATCCAATCAAATGAGGGTGTAAGGTATTAGATCCAGTGAATATTTTTTATCTGTGAGAAGTCTACGTTTTGTGAAATAATTTGGTGAGAAATCGTTTTTTTTTTCAATTTTACCTCTTCACTTTTTTTTATCTATTTGACTTTTTGTTGACTATTTGTTCAAATTTTTTTTGTCTATTTGTTCAAATTGAAATCTATCTGCTCAAAATTTTGGACTATTTGTTCAATTTTTTCCCTATCTGTTCAATTTTCTCCTAAATTCTATTTATCTATTGAATTTTTTCCCATAATTCTATTTATCTATTCAAATTTATATCGATTTGTTCAATTTTTTTCTCCTAAATTATATTTATCTGTTCAAAATTTTTTACTATCTTTAATTTTCCCCCTAAATTCTATTTATCTGTACAATATTTTTCTCTAAATTTTATCTATTTATTCAATTTTTTTCGATATGTTGAAAATATGTGTCAACTTTTTTTGTTTATCTGTTGTAATCATCATCATCAACATCATTTTTTTTCTAGATCTGTCTCATACATACACACACTCACAAATATACATACATACACTTACAGATATATATACACTCAAGATATACAAACATAACACACTCACAGATATACAAACAAAATTCAAATTCAACAACAACAACAATAAACAACAAGAACTACATAATAATAATAATAATAATATAAAATTGAACAGATATAGATCTAAAAAATCTGTTCAATAGCTCAACCTATCTGTTCCAACAAGAACTACAAAAAAAATAAATAATTCTCATATCTAGATCTGAGAAATCTGTTCAAGTTTCCTCTTTTATTTCTTTAAATCTATTCCCTTTGTCTTGCTACTGTCGCTCTCTTATTATTGTCGTTTATCGTTAGAATAGAGAGTAATGAACTGGAGATTTGTTAGAGAACTGTGTTCTCGTGCTTGATTAGCTCAGCAATTTTTATAATGAATGTAGTTAAAGATGATAGGGTTCGAGAAGTTGAATTGGAAGCTGAGAGTGAATAGATTGCTAGTAAAACATGTTCTAATGTTTCTAAACTTGTTGATTCGTGAAGCAATTGAAGGAGTCTCTATAACCTTTTTTCTTGTATTATTAGAGCTTGGAAAAATTTGCCGGAGAAAACAAATATTACGATGCAATTCATTGTTTTTTCTTGCGCCACAGCGGTGCCGAAGACTAGTAACTGGACTAGAGCAGGTATAGCCCCTTCCTCTCCCAATGAAACCCTGATGTCCTCCATGGCGGCCACGTTCTTCAAAGCTCCCACTACATATCCTTGTGTTGTTAACGATTCCGATCGACAAGCTTTGATTAGCACTGATACGCTGCCGTAGACTGAAGTTACAAAAGACTATTCAATTAAAATTAAAGCCAATTGTTGGACAATCTTCACTATATTAAATTAATTAATTCTGTTTGGGTACTAAACGACAAACATAATATAAAAGAAAAATAGGAAAGGAGAATGAATGTTTGATTACAAAAATCAAACTAGAAAAAGAATTAAATAAATAAAAACAGATTTTATTTTGTTACAAAAACAAAATTAAAATCTGATTTAAATAAATAATAACAAAACAGAAAATAAATAAATAACTTACTTGATTAATATCTTCGAATAATAATCTAATCAAGTCCAGTGTTCGCTACTGTGTCCTTAAGACAGATTCGTCCTCTCCACGGGGCTTTCAGAATATGGACGTCTATCTCCCAGGATGAAATGATCAATCAACAAATAAATGCAGCACTACAATTTATTTGTTCAATAAACACACTAAGTGTTTATACTCTCTCTCAGAAGAAAATAATGCAGCAATATGAAGAGAATGTTTGCAGAATTATTAAGGACGAAATTAGTGAGTGAATCATCAAATGAGAGCTGTTTATTTATAGATGGATTGGTGGCTTTTCAGTTTGAATCCAACAGGTAGCAATCTGTTTTGAACAGATATGAAACCTGTTTGGTTTTGAATTAAACAGATTTAAATCTGTTGGGTTTAAAATTCAAACAGATAAAATCAGAAGGGACCTGTTTGAGTGTAGAGAAAAACCGGAACAGATTAATTTGAATTCTACAGTTGGATAGATTTTATTTTAAAAAATAAATTAATTCCAAATGTTTTTTGCCCAAAAAGATTAGTATTGGGCCGGACAAGTCCAACCAAACCTCACACCACGCACCCCCGCCCAAGCCCAGCCCAGCCCGACCGGGACAGATAGCGGCGGCGCGCGCGCGTGTGGTGATTTTTGGATCCCATGGGTCTAGTCCATTTTGTCCATAACCTCCCTCTCTACAAAACTTGGGTACCCCTTGGGGCACACCCCAAGTTCCAATCCCATGCCTTATAAACCCATTCAAAACTTCCCATCAAATCAATGTGGGATAAGCCATTTTCCAACCTTAAGGAATTTCCACCAAAACTCCATTTCCATGGAACTCACTTTGGCTTCAATTTCCCATTCACCCGATAATGATTTTGAGCAACCAAATATACCACGTGAATCACAACGCGGCATAGAACGCGTTACCACTTAGACCCGCCAACTTAGGCGCACGGGTTCCACCTAAAAAATAGACCAAAGTCTGGAGAAAATTCTATTTTTCTAGAATTTCAAAGCCAGTTTCTAACAATCCCCCACATAAAAGCTACTTCTGATTGTAGATTATACGGAGGGAGAGTTGGAAATACTTAAATATCCTTAGTGTTTTGAAGTATTTACTCTTATACCACATATATATATATATATATATATGTTTTTTACCCCTAATCTTTTCTTTGGCAAGAAAAGAACGCAGCAGCAAGTAGCAAAATGTTGCAGCAAGACGTACAGCTTTGGTTCGCTTCTGGTGTTGGTTCACCTCCGTTGACGTACGGCTCTGGTTTGTTTCTGGCTTTGGTTTGCTTCTGGCTTTGGTTTGCTTCCGGCAACATACAGCTCTGGTTAGTTTCTAGCTCTGGATCTTTTCTCTCTTTCTCTTTCACACTCTCGCTCTCTCTATTCACCTCTTTTCCTTCATCTCTCTCAGTTTTTTCTCTTCTCTCTTTCTTTGGATTCGGCATCCATGTATATATATTTATATGTATTGTTTTGGTTATTTGTGATTTTGTCTAGTTCAAATTTGTTAAAATTGGGAAAAATAAGAATATTGAGGGTTTAGGAAAATTTTTGGGAAATTTTATTCATGCTTTGATGTTTAAAATTTGTGTAGGATGTTGACTGCCATTACATTGATTTTTCGTTTATTAATGTTGGAGATGTGAATTTCGTATTTATGTTATACAATTAGTATCTTAAAGTTTGAAATGTTTTGAAATTGATTTTTGAACAATGACACTTGTTTGTGCTAATTAAATTAGTAATCCAGAGTCCTAGTTCTCTGTATATGATTTGGAGGGCTCAAGTTTGCTCAAAACCAAAAAAAATGTGAAGTGATTGGCATGTGCCCTAAACACATTTTTTGTGTTTTCATTTTTTGGCCAAATTTATAAACTGAGACCACTGATTTATAAATCAAAAATTTTACCAAACAAGTTTTTATTTGAGTTTTTTAAATTTTTGTAAATATAAACAGAAAACTGAAAACGTAAGTATTACCAAACGACACCGAAGTGATTGGCATGTGCCCTTGAGCCCAATCATGCTAGTATCTCCCTCATGCTTTGAAGGAGTGCTTAACATATATATATATTCCATCTGATATTCAAATTTTTCTTTGATCCCTCAATCACTTGATGAACTTGTATAATGCCTAAGATAATAGATAATGCTCTCAAGAACACAGATAGGTTATTACTGTGTATTTTTAATTAGGTCACGATTTTACTACAAATTAGTTGATATACACTTCAACAGTGCCTGTTAAAGTGTTCAAATACTTGATGCAATTGCTATTAGGTGTAAGAATATGACAATAATGATTTTCTTTACTTATTGGACTGATTATGTGCCTTTATTTTCACTGTTATTCTGAAGTTTATTTTGTTTACATATTCTTATTAATTCATATTGTTCATATCCAATGTTTTCAAAATGGGACAAGGCCAAGTAAAATTAACTTGGTTCTAATTGTTTTTTATTTTTTTGTTGATATGGTTTTTAATAATATGAGTAAGGGTTTGTTCAAACCATTGTTACAATTCAAGTGTTTTTATTATTATGGTCTGTTTAATAAAAAATGAGTACCGAACCACCATCACAATCTCCAACAATTGCAAAGAGCAAGGGAAAAGCTTCCCAAGACTCCCAACCCTCACATGTTTTAAAGGCACATTGGGACACAAAATCCATTAAAAGTTTTGTCAAACTTTGTGTGGAGCAAGTGAAAGAAGGTCACAAACCTAGTATGCACTTAGATAGGGTTGGTTGGGAGGCAATTATTAACAAATTCAAAATTACAACTCGAAAGTCATATGTTCGCCTTTAGCTTAAAAATCGTTGGGATACCTTAAAAAAGGAGTGGGGTCTTTGGAAAAATCTGTTGAGAGATGAGACTGGGCTGGGGTTAGATCTCTTGACTGAAGCTATCATGACATCTGATGATTGGTGGAATTTGAAGCTGCAAGTCAGCGAATTATGTTAAATTTTTTTCCTTGCTCACTTATACTTGAGCTTTATGATTTATATATTTATAATTATTTGTCCATATTTTGTTATAGAGGTATCCTGATGTGGCCAAATTTCATGAGAAGCCATTGACATTGGCCGATGACATGGACAAACTATTCTCTGATGTTTCTGCAACTGGTGAGTGGGCATACACCCCAAGCTCTGGAGTGTTTCTTGACACTAAAGGATCTTACACCCCACTTGGTGATGATACTGATACGGAAATCCATTCGTCTGAATTGAGAAACCAATGTCGTCGCCAAAAAGAGGGTCCATCAAAGAAGCAAAAGGGGAACAAAAAACAATCGGCCGCCGATGAGTTGAATAAGACACTTAACCACATTGTCGATGCTGTGGAGGCATCATCTTCAACTGGTACATGGAATGCTGCTATGCAAAATCCGCACAAAATAAATGAGTGTTTGGCCACTACTACAAAAACAGTTAAAGATCATACTTTGACAAATGAATATATCTCACTTTTATTGAAGTGTGATAAAAAAAATTAGATTGATATTTTAATCACACTTGATTTGATTAAGTTTGATAATATTTATTTTTTATATCACTTTTCAATTAAGTGTGATTATATATATATATATTTTTTTTTTTTAATCACGCTTTCTAATTAACATGTGATTAAAAATCACATAAGAAGAATTAGAAATATCTCACTTTTATTAAAAGTGTGATTAAAAAAATTAAATAATTTTTTAATCACACTTAATTTAATAAGTGAGACAATATTTTTTTTAACCACACATTTTAAGTAAGTGTGAATATTTGTTTTACTAGTCTCTCACACACACAATCAATTCCTAAACCTTAACACACCTAACCCTCATCTCATCGTATACAACATTCGTCTCAAACACATCTCTTACTCCTCCACTACGCCGCACTCAACTCTTGCTCTTCCACTACGCCGATCGCCATCGCCATCACCATCGCCATCGCCATCGCCATCGATGTCACCTCTAGTAGCCTTGCCGGTCGCCACCGTCGCTAGTAGCCTTGTTGATAGCCATTGCACCTTCTCCGCTCGCTGAAGTTTTGATAACGACTCTGTGAGTTTTGGTATTTTTTTTTTTCTTCTTCTTCTTTTTTTTTTTTTTTTTTTTTTTTTTTGTTTTAGTTTGCTTATTTTACAGATTTTGGTAGATTTTCCCTTTCTCCTTCTCATTTTGGTAGATTTTGCTTCTTATTTGCATTCCTAGTTAATTTTGTTTACTCTATGTGAACCTTTTGATAATGGTTGGCCTCTGGTTTCACTTTCTCTTATTCTCTGTTTAGGAGTAAATTCTTTTTTTTTAAAGTAAAATTTTGAGTTAGCTGGAGATGCCTAACAGAAGTATTTGGCTCATTTGAGTCGAGTTTTTCCTGCCATCAAAGCAGATCGAGCAATATGAAAAAATTACCCATTTCAATATGCCCAGCCAGAAAATTTCCATATGCCCAGAAAATTATTGGTTTAGACAGGAAAGTGACTCGGTGGAAGCTTGGCTTCCATTAAATTGGTTTGTAACAGGTGCAAAACTGATTCTTTAGTAAAATTATTCTATTTTTATTTTTTATTTTTTTGTTATTGTGGTACTGCACTGTTCACTCCACTTTTTTTGCGTCTTTAATACCACTGCAAAGTGTTATTATAAGTAATCCTAAATTGGATTGTGGATAACATTGCCCTTAAGTAGTTTCTACTTGTCAATAATTTATAGATACGTGGATGCATCTTTTGAAGTGTCAAAAGGATACCTCTGGGCATATTGAATTGCCATATGGGTGCCAATATACTAAACTAGGAGTGTCCTTGTTACATTTGAATCAACACCAGTATTCTAATGCATATTCTATTAGGGTGATTTTATTGTTGGTAATAATCTTTTCATTGACTTCCCATCCTTCTTAACATGACTGGTGAAATTTGGGATGTAGGTTGGATGTTATACGCACCGATCGTGCTCGTCTTTTATGAGAGTGAAGCCAATCAGACAAAACGTTGGAACATTCTTGCCATTTATGCGTGGGTTGATAATTCTATTGGATATGTTCAAGGTGAGTTCTCCTGAATCCAATGATAGTTATGCTGAAACTGTTTTATGTTTTGGTATTTTCAATGGTTTTCACATTTTTTTCCTTGAACAGGAATGAATGATATTTGCTCTCCAATGGTTATTCTTATGGAAAACGAAGCAGACACCTTTTGGTGTTTTGAGCGGGCAATGCGCAGGTTGGTATGCATCTATTTTCATTATCAAAGGTGACATTGTTATTAAAACTAACAATGTGACCCAACTGCTTACTTTATTTAATTGCTCCTGTATTTTTGAATGTAGAATTAATCTGTTTTAGTGAAAAGTAGTTACTTGAGTTAGTTGGGTTTGGTATTTAGTGAATTCCAATGGGATAGGTATACTTTTTTTGCCTTTTAGTTTCAATTTTTGGGATATCAGCATTGTTGCATAGCTAGTTCTTGAACACCTGGAGTGTTGAAATCCTGCTATCTGATAGTAGTTGTTTCTCCATAGGGCAGAATGGTCAAATGAAATCAGGCCATGCCTGCAATTAGTAGGACTAAGGTTTTGTTGGGTAGAATTGTTAACTTCGGCTCTGATTTCTAGCTTTTTGTTGACAGGCCAAGTGGGTGACAAACTCTTAGGGGAATGCCTCACATTTTTCTAGGTTGTGGTTGGTTTACATGTATGCAGTAATTAGGGCACTTTGAAAGTCCTTCTTTAGTTTTTTTTACTACAGACCCTAACTACTCAAGTATATCACATTTACCAAACCTGTTATTTAGGACAGCGTTACCTGATTTTGTTGCTTTTCCTCTCAAAGTTGCATTTTAATTTCTTAACTGTAAGTCATAGTGCTTTTCATCTTTCAGACTTTTTCTTGGGTTTAGGACTCATTTCCCTGCTTTTGTTTGAAAAAGAGAAAATTTCAGGTCCAATCAAGGTTTTAAAAAGCGGCCGCAACCGTTACGTAACGCCGTTACGTAACGGTTTTGGCGGTTACCGCCACCCGTTATGGCCGCTTTTGCAGTGTGATTGAGATTCACAGGTGTGTCGGCCGCAGCGGCTGCCGTAGCGGTCGTAACAGGCCGTTACGGCTGTTACAGCACCGTTACGTAACGGTTCCAAACTGTTTCTTCTGAAAAAACACACAAAAAAAAAAAGCTAAAAATGGGGGAAGAGGGATAGAGAAGAGAGAAGAGAGAAGATAAAGAGAGAAAATAGAGGAGCAAGAGATAGAGAGAGAGAAGAGGGAAGATAAAGAACATGTTATTAATTTGTTGAAACTGTAAGACCTATGCTATTCTATTCAGCTGCTATCACTAAACCATTTTGTTTTTTACTACAGACCCTAACTACTCAAGTATATCACATTTACCAAACCTGTTATTTAGGACAGCGTTACCTGATTTTGTTGCTTTTCCTCTCAAAGTTGCATTTTAATTTCTTAACTGTAAGTCATAGTGCTTTTCATCTTTCAGACTTTTTCTTGGGTTTAGGACTCATTTCCCTGCTTTTGTTTGAAAAAGAGAAAATTTCAGGTCCAATGCAAATTCTATAGGGGTGCAATCTCAATTGAGTGCACTTACAGGAATAATGAAAGCTGTTGATCCAAAGGTTCATCAACACCTTGGTACGGCTGATCCTGCTAGAAGTAAGTTTTAGTTTTTGTTTGAGTGGGATGTACCATGTACAGAATTTTGACAGCAGGATTGTTTTACTTGTAGCTCCACTATTTGATTTTTGGCCTGTTTGGTTATCACTTATAAGTTAACTTTTATGATTATAGTTTTTTTTTAGATTATAAGCGTAATTGTTTTTTAAATAAATTGTAAATCAGTTTGGTGTAGCTTTTAATAATTTGTTGTAGAAGTTAAATATGTTTGGTTAAATAAGATGTTACATAACTTTTTTGTTATGCAAATATCTAGAATGACCTCAAAAGTTATAATTATGATAAAAGAGATAGGACTTTTACGTCTATACATGTTTAAGTGCCCATGCTACTTAGGTGCCCCACAATCTGCGATGACCGGTTTCATTGTATGTCGCTTCACTTATTATCCTCTTCGGGTTGTTATGTTCGAAAGTTTTTCTCAAATTCCGGTCTTTGTTTATTCGGGGTTGAGTGTCACTTGTTTCGGAGGGTGAAAGGTCGAGTCCGGAGTGTCTAGAATCGAACTAGAAAAATTTTGGGTTGGAGGACCAGGGCCGCACGTGCGGAGATGTGGGTCTGTTTCAGCTTGCACACTGCATAAAAGGCAGGTGTAGAGTGAGGTGCATCGAGGGGCCACTGAACGTGCGGGGATGAAGGCCGCACGTGCGAGAGAGGGGCGCCGCACATGTAGGACGCTGGACAGTTTGAGATCTCTATTTTTTTTCTCGTTAGGGCTGTGTGTGTATCACTTTTAGCCCATCTCTCTGTCTCTCTAAAAATCATTTCCTCTCCCTTCTCTCTATATTCCATACACCAAAACTCTTCAAACTCTTGATCTCCTTAGATCCATTGCATTTTCAATCCAAGTTCCTTCATCAAAGTTGAATACCTCCTCAAGAGCTACATAGTGTACGATAGAGATTGGATTTTGGCATCATCAATTTCTAGGGTTTCATCTCTTTTCTCCTTCAAAGCTTAACGTAGGGACTTCTTTGAGTTATATATACTTGTTTACGCAAGATTGATATTGATTTTGAAACTTTCTTAGAGATATTCTAAGGGTTTTGGTTTTTGACTCAAGAAATGGTGGCTTGTTAAAGAAATTCATCTTTTGTTTCATTAAAAGATTTTCTCTTGAGTAGTTGAAACACATTGGCATAGAAATGATGTTTTTGGTGGGATTTTGTCAAGACAATGAAGAAACCTAGAAGTTTGGGGTTTTCCTTAAATGAAAGAAGATGGAGGTGCATGGTTGATATTATATATATGTATATGTATTTACTTTGTTGTGTGTCATGATAAGTAAAGAAAATGGAGGATTCCTTGTTTTAATACAAATGCATATATATTGATGACAGTTTCATAACACATGAGAATCGTTGGGATTAGAAGTTGTTGTCCAAATAGTTGCTATAGTTTTGAAATGGTTAAAATGATGGAAGTGTATGAAGTGTGGGTTTATGGTTGTATTTTGATAAATGATAGCAACTTTTGGCCATTGGTTGGAATGGCATTGAAAAGAGAAAACGGAAGTCTTGAACTTGCGAAACATTTATTGCTCTTCTAAAACCTTGCATGTCATGAACATTGAAGTGGGGTTTGAAACTTTCATTGAGAATGAAATATTGTGAAATGAAACCATGGAAATGTTTCTGGGGTAAATACGTTGGTAAGTCCGGATAGGTGGTGTAGATGAAATTGTTTAAGTTGGCTTGAGTTTTCGGGGTAAAAGATCGAAAACACGCGCGGAGGACGTACCACTTCCCTTCCGGTTAGCAACCGGTAAAGTGGGATTTTTGATAGTGCTAGTTAAGCCAACTTGCAGACAGCAATCTAAGGATTACCTGAGTCGTATTTACCACCCCATTGAATAAAATTGTAAATTTCGAAATTTGTTGAGGTTTCAAGCTTTTGTTGAACATGGTGACTTTTAAAAAGGCATGTAAATGAAATTCTCTTTTAATTAGCATTGCATGGCATTTGCATTTAATATTGAAAAATCTTGCATAACTGCATATACTTTGTTAAGGATTCTCTACTGGGCTTATTACTCACCCCTATGAGATTTTGGTGCAGGAAAAGATGTGGTGATCCCGCCGAGTTGAGGGCGTGGATACATTTTGTGAAGAGTAAATGACTCTCTTTTGTTGTGATTTATTTTGCTAGGGGGAAAGACCGACATGGGCATCCGGTTCGTAATGATATGGATTCAAAAAGATATGAGATTTTAATATCAATTTGTCAAGAAAGTAATTATTAAAATATAATAAATTTATTTTTGTGTAATGTTTATATCATTGTTATTATCTAAAAATAAAATAATTATGTTAATTTGGTGTTGGAATGATCTCTTAATATGTAATTAACAGCAAAAAATAAAGATAAATTCAACTTACAACTAATAAGGGTAAAAAAGACATTTACACAGCAAAGTTATTTCACAGTTTATTTAGGCTAAGTTTGGGATGTTTAGAAAAAGCTAAAAAGTTAAAAAGTCACTATCCTATTTGAGTCACATCATCTTATTTAAGTCACATCACTTCTCTAACACATCACTTCAAACCCAACCCAAACCCAACCCATATTTCATAAAAAGTCAAAAAGTACACTTATTTAGTCTTTCCAAACTTGGCCTTAACAAACACTACTCAGCAACTTAAATCTATAATCCAACAGTTACACCAAACAGATTAACAGATTCTGATTAAAGTCATAATCTATTAAGTTATAATCCATAATCTGTTTTAACAGTTATATCAAACTGGGTTATTGAATTTTTTTAGGGTAAATTGCACTTTGCCTCCTTTATGTTTGACTACTTTCTCACTTTCGCCCTTCAAGTTTATTTTTTTCTACTTTGGCGCTTCATGTATCAAGTTTTTCTCACTGTACTTCTAAAACTAATTTTTGTTAAAAATTAGACAGAAATGACGCATTATCAGTTACGTGACATAAAAATATTTTATTATATATGACTCACACCTCTAACATAAATTTAAATTTCAATATAATAATATATTTTTTTATATTATGTGACAGTTATTGTGGCATTTTTTGTCTATTTTTGAACAGAAGTTATCTTTAAGTGTAAAGTGTGAAAAACTTAAAACATGAAGGGTTAAGGTGAGAAAAATAAACTTGAAGGGCCAAAATAGAAAATAGGCTAAACATCATGGAGCAAAGTGTAATTTATCTATTTTATTTTTTTATTATTCAAATCTTATATCCTAAAAGTATACAAAACTTAGAACAGGAAGGTTTAAAGAATCTAAAATTTGGAGAAGGTTGAAAATTACAATAGGAAGAAATTGCGAGGACCAAAATTTGCAAATCCGATTTTATTCATATTTTTTTTTTTGGGTGTGAATAACACATTTTTTAATTGGCAAAAATAGAGAAATTTATATTTTTAAGTGAGTCAATATACTTTTTGAATATAAAATTAACAAGTTTAGATGAATCATAATTTATGTATTATTCACACACTCTAAAAGTGCAAATAAATTCGCTTTCAGTACCACGCCTAGCATCTTGTTGCGAGTCCTGTTTTTTTTTTTTTTTTTTGGGAGGTTGTTAAGATTTAATCAACAAATTATTTATAATAATAATAAAAATAAAAATAAAAACAAATTAATCAAACATTTATAGCCTATCAAAAGACAACATTTGTTTTTAAAAAAATAAATAGTTGATATGATTTTAGTAATTTTTTAAAAATAATTAGGACATGAACTAAAATTATAAATATTTGATTAATCTTATTTTATTTTAATTTTTTAAATATGACATGTTTAACTAACCTTACAATATAAATAATTTGAATTATCCAAATATACCCAGAAGAAACTTCCCCGGAGCCTCACAGCAGGCCGCTGTGACTTATGGGCACAATAGAAACTTTTTTTTTTTTTTTTAAAACTATAATAAAATGATGCTCCTTAGTAGCATCATTACAATCCCTAGGCTCCCTTGTATAGGCCAAATTCATGAGCAAGGATCTTCTAGGATTTTTTTTTCCTAAAATTTTTTAGAGTGGTGCATTTTGTGGTTGAGATTTAATAATAAGTCACATTAATTTTTTAGTATTAAATTTCAACCACACAATACACCACTTTAGAAAATTTTAGAAAAAAAAAACTCTAGAAGATACTTGATGCAAATTCATCCCAATTCAAAAAAAGAGATCCACCACTGAAATAAACAAAAAATATACTAAACCCTAACAGAAAAGGTGGAGTCACAAACACCAAAAACAGAATCACTAATCATATTCCAAAGAGAAATGTTAGGGATCATGAAAAGTCTCTCATGAAAATGATCATGAAAGATTTGTGACCCTTAAATTACCTTGATTAGTGTGTGGTGCTTTATTCTAAGTGTAATCTAAAGGTCACAAATCTTTAATGATCATTTTCATGAAAGATTTTTCATGATACCTAACATTGCTGTATTCCAAAAAATCAAACCCTACTAACCTATATGGAAGGACAGTCGGGGCCACCATACCTGATGGTACAATAGCAACTCTTGATCCGCTAAAAAGTGACTAGTATAAATGCTTTTCAGTTAATAAATGATTAGAATAATATTAAGAATTCTAAATATTTTATCAAATATTTCATTAAATATCTCATTTAAACGTGAGACTAACATAAAATTTATATAATATAATTATATAAATTTTACACTCATATAAAATATTTTATAAAACATTTAGTAAGACATTTGAGATAACAGTATTTTTCAAATGATTATTGAGATCAGTGGCGTGGTGGAACTATTGGGCGATGGGCGATGCCATGCCCCCCAAACTTCTTGAAAATTACACTAGTACCTTTATATTGTATGATATTTATAAAATGTATATTAAGATTACTTCTTAATTTTTTTGAAAATTATTTTATTAACTATCTATTTTATTAATTTTTCACAAGTATAATAACGTGATTTTCAATTATTTCTCATGCTATTTAATAGTATCAATATAATCTAGTCATTTTTATTTATAGAAGAGGTGTAAGCCACCAATTTTTTGATTTTTGTTTTAAAAAATCAAAGAAACATGTAATATTTTTTATTTATTAGATATTGTCAACCAACAAAATAGTTTTATTAATAATTCAAAATTTCAAAAAAGAATTTATAAGAAAAAAAAAATCATTAGATTTATTTTTATCGTCACAAATTATTATTTTTTACACAACTTTTACGTAAAAAGTTATCTTGTATTAGTAATGTACCAAAATTAAATATTTTTTTTATGCATACACCTTGGTCCATCCTTAGCATAAATCATGGTTCTGCCCCTCATTTAGATTAATAATAAATGCTTTTTAAGGAAATTTCTATGACAATAATAATTTTCAATGACAATGTAGGCTTTTTTTGCATGGTGGGTGGTAGGAGTGAGCATGGGACAGTTTGGATGGTTAAAATTATAAATTGAATGACATATTGAGGGATTAAAAAATCACCATTTATGGGTTGATATAATTTTAACATGTTGGATGGTATTTTCACAGTACAACTTTTATGTCAATGTTATAAATACTTTCAAGTTACTTTTTATGAATTCATTTTATACGAGATTGACTAATATTCAATATTGAAATACAATCTGGATAGGTTATTGTTAAACAAAATTGACACCACCAAATGAAGTGGACAGAACAAAATACTTGGCTACAAACAAGCCACCACAACACACAAGCAGTGGACTATGTACTCCTTAGGGGCTTATCCTATATCTATTTTGATAATTCAACTTATTTATATTTAAAAAAATATTGACTAAAATATACTTAAAAAATTAAGATATTATTTTATTTTTACCTTTATACTTTGTCACGATTTTCAATGATCCCCCAAACTATTCTTATTTTCACGCGTATCTCTATACTATTTAAGTTACTATTAATTTTGCCCTTGCCGTCAGATTTAAATAAGAAAAGGTTTAAAAAATTACATTTTGGCTCCAAATTTCAAAAGAAAGATGCAGACTCGCGCATTCCTACCGGCAAACCACTACTAGCAACCACCACTTCGAGCCTTCCTATCTCCTTTGTCATAACTTCGTTTTGCCTCATTTTTACGTCATTGGATTCAACTCACGACCTAATTTTCGTATCACATCTCACACGTCTCGTTCTTTTTCTTTTTGCATACTATCGAAGCTCCGAAAGTTGAAAAAAAATATATATATATTTCTTCTCGTTTTTGACTTTTCTTCGAGCCATCTTTCGGACTTCATATATTTCTCGATTCTTGACGATTCTATTTCATTCTTTCTTCATTCTCTTCGTCTCACTTCTATTTTTCTCTACACTACCTCACTTTCTCACTTCTTCGTGTAATGGGCAATTTTGGTATGCCGAAAGTTGTCCGAAAACAAATTTCAAAAATTTCAAAACATTCATCTTTTGTTTCTTTCTTCTCCATCTTCCTCATTCTTCTTCTTCTTCTTCTTTACTTATAACATGATGTAGAACATGATTCTAGGTGGTAATAGAACCGATGATGGTGGTGGTGGTGGTTCGGTGATGGCGGTGGGTTTGGTGTTGTAAGATGGTGGTGGTGGTAATGATGGTAATGCTTATGGTGGTGGTAATGGAACTTGGTTGTGAAAAAGGTTGGTTTGGGTTGTAAGGTGGTAGTGGTGGTGATGGTAATGCTCATGGTGGCGGTAATGGAGTTCGGTGGCGGTAAAGTTGGTAGTTCGGGTGGTGATGCTGGTGAAGTTGATGGTTGAGATTGCATATGCCCGGAAGAATATTTTACTATTTGCTATGAGATTTTTCTTAAATTTCTTGACAATACAAATTAGCTATTTGCTATGAGATTTTTCTTAACAATACAAATTTATTTTGTTCTTGGCAAAACAGTTGAGGTTTGTATCTCATTTACGATCCAAGTCTGAATGGGCACGATGTTCCATTCAAATGGACTGAGAAAATTCCGGTAGGAAAGATGATATGTATGTATATAATTGAAGAAGAAGAAGAAGAAGAAGAAGAAGAAGAAGAACATCACTACCCGAACCACCAACTTCATCGCCACTGAACTCCATTACCGCCATCACTGCTATCTCCAGTTCCGTTACCACCTAGAACCATGTTCCACGTCATGTTATAAGTGAAGAAGAAGAAGAAGAAGAAAAAGAAGAATGAGGAAGATGGAGAAGAAAGAAACAAAAGATGAATGTTTGGAAATTTTTTAAATTAGTTTTCCGACAACTTTCAGTATACCAAAACCGTCCATTACATGCAGAAGTGAGAAAGCAAGGTAGTGTAGGG